AACTGAAGTAGATTTTTAAAACCTTAAATGGGCTAATGAGCAGACAGGGAAGATTACTGTTTTTATTTTGTTTTTTTAAAAAGACATGGTGTTGTTTATTCCAGGCTGGCCTGGATCTCACTATCTAGTTAAAGCTTGCCTTGAACCCCTAATACTCCTGTTGTTTCTACTCAAGTACTAAGATTAAGGGGTGTGTGTGCTACCACACTTGCCAACTTTTCTTACCAGTTTATCTGTGAGATTGAACCAGGTCCGTGGTAGTGCTAGACAAACTGTGTAGCATTGAGCTACATTATCCAGTCTTGAATCTGCTTTTAAAAGACCATGGGCCTGGTGATTCCATCTAGTCACAAGCCAAGTCAAAGCCATTCTACTTAGTAAGTTCAAGGCCAACTTGAGCAACTTAGACCCTACCTCAAGATAAAATAATGAAGAGCAGGGAATATGTTTCAGTAGCCAGAGCACTTGCTGAGCAGGTATGAGGGCCTAATTTGAATCACCAGGACCCAAGTAAATGTTTGGCATGGTGACATGTGTCTACAGTCCCAACATTCCTTCTGTGAGATGAGACGCCAGAGACAGGAGATTCCTCAGAAGCTTGAAGGCCAGCTAGCCTGCCTTATGCAGTGGCAAACAACATAGAGACATATACCCAAGGTTGTCCTCTGATCTCCAAGCACAGGCCTGAACATACATTATTCATACACAGACATTATCACATACTCACACACACACTCACTAAAAAGAGAACTGTAGTCAGGTGGTAGTGGTGCATGCCTTTAATCTCAACACTCAGGAGACAGGCAGGCAGATCTCTGTGAGTTCTAGGACAGCCAGGGCTGTTGCACAGAGAAACACTGTTTAAAAAAACAAAACAAAAGGACTGTAGCTAAGTGGGTAGTAGAGACTTATCTTGCAGGTCCAAGGCCTGAGGCACAGTCTCCATTATTGCAAATAAATAAAAGACCTTGGCCAAAGGCTGCAAGAGTACACACAATAAAGACAAAAATACACAAATAGGATTATGTTAGACTATATATAACAAAAATAAAAGCAGTGTAGACAACCTACAATATGGGAGAGAAATTGTCCAACTGTTTGTCTGACAAAAGATTAAAGACTTGTTTTAAAGATTTCTTTTTTGAGCTGGGTATGGTGGTAGAGACCTTTAATTTCAGCACTAGGGAGGCAGAGGCAGGAATATTCTTTGTGAGCTCAATACCAGCCAGGGCTTCATACTACGACTCTCTTAAAAAAGTTATTTTTCAGCCAGGAGTGGTGGCACATGCATTTAATTCCAGCACTCTGGGAGGCAGAGCCAGGCAGAATTCTGAGTTTGAGGTCAGCCTGGTCTACAGAGTGAGTCTAGGACAGCCAAGGCGACACAGAGAAACCCTATCTTGAAAAACAAAAACAACAACAACAACAATATATATATATATATATGTGTGTGTGTGTGTGTATTAATTATGTGTATGTATAGTGGTCTTTGCCCCTGAGTGCAGGTGACGGCAGAGGCCAGAGTATTGGATTCCATTGGAACTGAAGTTAAAGGAAGCTGTGAGAGCCTCCCTTCCAATAAGTGCTCGAAAACAAACTTGGGTCTTGTGCAAGAGCAGTAGAGGCCCTTAACTGCTGATCCATCTTTCTAGCCTCCTGACAAAAGATTGATACCCAAATTTATATGGAAATCAAAAACTTAACAAAATAGATAACAATTTTAAAAGTGAGCAAGAGTGTCAGGTGGTTATCCTAGCATTTGGGAGGTGGAGGTAGAAGGATCAGGAATTCAAGACCAGCCTCTATATAAAACAAGTTTGAGGCTTGTCTGGGCCACAGGAGATTCTCTTTGACAAATATAGGGGGTTCAGTTAAAAATGGGCATGGGTTTGGAAGTGCAGCTCAGTGGTAGGACACATACTTAGGATTTACAAGGCCCTGGGCTCACTCAAAACAAGTGTCATTCTTAACTGTATATTGGGTTGGAGGCCAGCCTGCCTCCCTCCATGTATGTGATTGTGTTATAGACACACAAGATTTATGTGGTAGCGTTTGTCTGTAATCCCAGCACTCAGGGACAGGGCAGGAGGATGAGCCAGACTCTGTCTTTTGTTCCTGTCTTCCTCTTCTGTTGTTGTGACAAAATCATGACCAAGGCAACTTACAAAAGAAAGCATTTAATTGGGCTGTGGCTTCAGGGTTTATGGTTTATGGTTACTATTGCTGTGATAAAACACCAGGATCAAAGCAACCTGGGGAGGAAAGGATTTATTTGGCTTAAGAAACTCCTACAGGGCAGGAACCTGGAGGCAGGAGCTGATGCAGAGGCCATGGAGGGGTGCTATTTACTGGCTTGCTTGTCATGGCTTACTCAGCCTGCTTTCTTATAGAACCAGGACCACCAGCCCAGGAGTAGCCCCACCCATAATGGGCCAAGCCCTTCCCCATAAATCACTACTTAAAATAATACCTTATAGGCTTACCTGCAAGCCCAGTCTTATGGGGGCATTTTCTTGATTGAGGTTCCCTGCTCTCAAATGACTCTAGTGTTTGTCAGCTGGGCATAAAACTGGCCAGCATAAGAGTCCATGATTTCTATGCAAAATGCACAGCAGCTCACACCTACATACAAAAGCAGGAGGCAGAGAAAGTCACACTGGGAATGGTGCAAGTATTTTGAAACCTTAAAAACCTATCACCTGATGAGGGCCAGTGTTTTGACCTGCTCTGTGGTGACCTGGGCTGGTTTACCACTCCTTAGGCATCCTGGTGGTCTCCTGCTATTGGTGCCAAACATAGTGTGGACACCCAATTGGCATAGCGCACTATGGCCCAGGACTCCTGGACTCAAGCGATCCTCCTGTCTCAGCCTCCTGAATAGCAACAAATCAAGTAATCCAATTAAAAAATGGGGTACAGAGCTAAACAATAGAGGAGTATCGAATGGCAGAGAAACACTTTAAGAAATGCTTAACATCCTTAGCTATCAGGGAAATGCAAATCAAAACAACCCAGAGATTTCACCTTACACCCATCAGAATGGCTAAGATCAAAAACTCAAGTGACTACATATGCTGGAGAGGATGTGGAGAAAGGGGAACCCTCCTCTATTGTTGGTGGGAATGTAAACTTGGACTACCACTTTGGAAATCAATCTGGTGCTTTCTCAGACAATTAGGAATAGTGCTACCTCAAGATCCAGCTGTACTACTCCTAGACAAATATCCAAGAGATGCTCAAGTATACAACAAGGACATTTGCTCAACCATGTTCACAGCAGCTTTATTTGTAATAGTCAGAAGCTGGAAACAGCCCAGATGCCCCTCAGTTGAGGAATGGATACAGAAATTGTGGTACATTTACACAGTGGAATACTACTCAGCAATTAAAAACAAGGAAATCGTGAAATGCCCAGCAAATGGTAGAAACTAGAGAAGATCATCCTGAGTGAGGTATCCTAGAAGCAGAAAGATATACGTTATATACTCACGTATAAGTGGATATTACACATATAATACAGGATAATCATACTAAAATCTGTACACCTAAAGAAGCTAATCAAGAAGGTGGATCCTGGGTAAGATGCTCAATCTTCATTCAGAAAGGCGAATGGGGTGGACATTGGAAGAGGGAGAAAACAGGAAACAGGACAGGAGCCTACCACAAAGGGCCTCTGAAAGACTCTGCCCAGCCGTGTATCAAAGCAGATGCTGAGACTCATAGCCAAACTTTGGGCAGAGTGCAGGGAATCTTAGGAAAGAAGGGGGAGATAGAAAGACCTGGAAGGGACAGGAGCTCCACAAGGAGAGTAACAGAACCAAAAAATCTGGAGCCAGGGGTCTTTTTCTGAGACTGATACTCCAACCAAGGACCATTCATGGAGATAAACTAGAACCCCTGCACAGATGTAGCCCATGGCAGCTCAGTGTCCAAGTGGGTGCCCTAGTAAGGGGAACAGGGACTGTATCTTCCATGAACTCAGTGGCTGGCTCTTTGATCACCTCCCCCTGAGGGGGGAGCAGCCTTACCAGGCCACAGAAGAAAACAATGCAGCCAGTCCTGATGAGACCTGACAGGCTAAGTTCAGATGGAAGGAGAGGAGGACCTCCCCTATCACTGGACTGGGGAAGTTGCATAAGAGAAGAGGAAGGAGAGAAGGAGGGGGCTACAACTAGGATAGAAAGTTAATTTTAAAAAAAGAAAAGGAAAAAAAAAATAACCTATCACCAGTAACATACCTGCTCCAAGAAAGCCACACCTTCTAATTCTTTTCAAACAGTTCTACCAACTGGGAATGAAATATTTCGATATATGACCCTATTTGAGGCCATTCTCATTCAAACCACAACAGCTTTTCCTACCACCAAAACAGTTGTTTACATAGAAGTGAGATATTTCTCAGCCCAAGGAAAAAATGAAGTCCTGTCATTTGTAGCCAAATGAAAAGCGGGAGAGAATTAGACCCTGTATGTTCTTATTCTCCCTCCCTTGCTGGTTCCTTCCTCCTGCCTACGTAGTCCCTCCTGCTTGTGGTCACGTGTGTTAGTCTCCTATGTCCCCACACCCTCCCTTTACACTTCTTCCACTCGCCTCATATTCTTTTGCTACTTTCAGGTTCTCCACACACACACCTACACTGTGTGTGTCTCTGTCTCTTTCTCTCTTACATGTTAACAATAATGAAGGCCTTGGTTACTGACACTCACTTCAAACCTATAGCTTTCCATAGAGCTTTTTTAATTACCTTTATTTGTTTATTTGAGTGTGTGTATCTGTGTGGACACCTGTGTGGAGGTTGGACGACAGCTGCTGGGAGTCAGATCTCTCCTTCTACTGTGTGTGTCCTGGGACCACTGAGGGCATCACACTTGGTAGCAAGGGCCTTGCCCACTGAGCCATCTTGCTGGCCCTTACTTACTTTTACTGATCACACTCATGATTTATATTGATTATGATTTGAATAACTTGTGGTTTGTTTGTTTGTTTTTTTTCCTCTAAAGCTTTGATAAACTTGCTGAAGTTTCTTATGTCAAATGAAACTGTACTTTTGGCCAAACACAACATTTTTACATTGGCCCTTATGGTGAGTATTAATAAAAATGTTTTTCTGAAGCCAAAATAGTAAGGCAGAAATGGGATTGTTTTAATAGTAGCCAAGGTCTGGGTTCTAAACTGTATTTTCCTTGTGGATTTGGCCTGGGAGGCATGGATACAGGTCACATGTCTGTATGAATATTGAGTTTTTTTCCCAGCTGAGAAACTGTACTGTATTATTGCACTTTCTATGCGGGTACATAATAAGGTTTCTAGAAACCTCCCAGCCAGGTGGTTCCATTATCACTGCACTTGGTTTCTGAAGGATACGTAGAAATGCTGGTAATTCAGGTGAGAAGGAGGCCACTGAACCTTTTAATTGTCTACCCAGCTTGTAAATGTTCAGTATTTGGTGGGGATGAAAGTCCTGATTTTGTAATAGCTGCTAATTGCAGAACTATACCCAAGATGGCCAATTTTCAGCTCTTAGCATGCAGGGTTGAGGTAGTACCCTATTATATTATATATTATATATACATATATAATATAATTTGATATTATATGAGATTCCTCTACATGTATAAATTATGTATAAGTTTTCAAAGCATAGATAAGAATAAAGGTAGATAATTAATAAGAAATATGAAGTTTTGATTACCTTTATTTTATATAAATTATTAGTTTATATCAATGATTTTTTAATAATAATTGTTTTACAACCCATTTACAAAGTCTCCAAAATTGTGTATATTTGCAAGTCAGTGGAAGATGAGTGTAGCTAACCACTAGTAATGCTTTCCTGATTTACATAGCCTGATGCCTGGGTATGGGCTATTGCTTCTTTCTCAGATTGTGAACCTGTTTAATATGTTTATCACATATGGTGACACATTCCTGCCAACTCCAAGCAGCTATGATGAGCTTTACTATGAAATTATCCGCATGCATCAGAGCTTTGACAACCTCTACTCCATGGGTAAGCATTTTTTTTTTCTGCTCTTTCTCTGCACTGCCTGCCCACACCCCTTGCTCCCAAACCCCGCACTGGCTATCTGGTAGGTAACAGGAAAAAGATTGTCTAGTTGGAGAGAAGCTTTGTGTGTTATAGAAATAAATAGCTCAGAGCCAGGCATGGTAGTATATGACTTTAATCCTAACACCCACATAGCAGAGGCAGACAGGTCTCTGTGAATTCCAGGCCAACCTGGTCTGCATTATGAGGTTTTTGGACAGCCAGAGCTACATGGAGAGACCTTGTTTGAAAAACAGTAAACAGACTGTCTCCTCTTCTCAGGCAACAGGAAAGCCTATGTGCGCCTTTTGCTTTCAGGTACTCAGACTTCATCTCAATGGAAAGCTGTGTAGATATCTGCCCTTTGTTGATGTGGAGAGAGAGGAAGGAGTTCCAAAGACAGATAGACAGAGAGAAAGAATGAATATGCTAGAGAGAGGCATATTCAGTGAGTGCCAGGAAGATGGTGGTGATTGAGTGCAGAGTTGAGAAATTCCCTCAGTCAGCAAAATACTTGTCTTACAGGCACATGGACCTAAGTTTGATCTCCAGTACCTACATACTAAGTTGGCATGGTGGCACATGCTATGGGGAAGTGGGGTTTACTGGCCATTTAGCCTAGCCTGCTTGGTGAGCTTCAGGCCAATTAAGAGACCCTGTCTCAAAATACAAGGTGGATAGCACCCTTGAGGAATGACATCCCACATGCTAGCCTAGTGTTCTTATCAACTCAGCTACAGCCTCATCTCCTTTGTTTTCCTTTGTCATCCTCCTCTTGATGACCCTTTGGAACAAAGTGGAACAAAACAAAAACCTTGCCTGTGCTTGGGGTCTTAGGTTATGAAAAGTGTAGGAGGTAAAATAAATAATAAAATGTGTTTTCAAAGGGCCAGCAATGACTGAAGACATGGCTCAGACATTAAGAGCACTTAACCGTTCTTGCAGAGAATCTGGATTCAGCTATCTGCAAAACATATCAGTGATTCAAAACCATCTATAGCTCTAGTTCTAGGGAGTCCCAGCCCTCTGGCCTCTGCAGGCACATGTGCCCATTCACATGGTGTATATAAACTCAGGCAGGAACAAACCCATATAAACAAATATTTTTAAAAGTGTGTTAAAGGGGGTAGGAGCATGAGCTGGCTCAGTTGGTAGTAACAGTACTTGTCATACAATCCTGGTAACCTGATTTCAATCACTGGAACCCAGGGTGAAATGAAAGAACAGATTCCTAAAAGTTGTCCTCTGAATGCTACATGCACACTGTAATTGTATTTTAAACTAATGCTATTATTTATGCAGTAAATTATGGAAAATAAAAATAATACACTTATTAGAGTCATAAGAAAAAGACTGAAGAACTTACCCCAAACTGTGGTTTTAGGCTGAGGATATAATTTAGTTGATAGAGTGTTTTCCTAGCATGCAGGAAACCCTGGGTTCAATCCCCACCACTCTTTATAAGGGCACATATGCTGGCACATGCCTATATTCTCAGCACTCTGGAAGATAGAATCATGAGAATCGGAAGGTCAAAGCCATCCTCGTTGACATAAAGAGTTCTAGGCCAACCTGGGCTACTTGAGACTTTGTCTCAAAAAGCAGGGGTAGATTGGCTGGAGAGACAGCTCTGTTGGTAAACTATTTGCCTGGCAAACATGAAGACCTAAGAGGAATCATCAGATATAGCCATATCAGCAGTGTCATCCCAGCATTTGGAAGTTAAATCAGGAGAAATTTGGGTTGTCTGGGCTACATAAGACTCTTTAAAAAGAAAAAAAAAAAGTAGGAAGAGGACGTTGAGGATGTAGCTTAGTTGGAAGAATGCTGGCCCAACATGCACGGAGCTCTGGGTTTAATCCCAGCCGCTGGGAGGTAGAGACTGGAAGACCAGGAGTTCAAGGTTATGATGGGCTTCACAGTGGACTTCAGAGCCAGCCTGAGGTGCAGGAGATGCTGTCTTGAGGGCTAGGTTTTTAAATTTTACTTGCGGTATATGTGGAGGGGTGTGCACATGTGTGCGCTCAGATATGTCATACAGGACAGAAGAAGGCATCGGATGCCTTGAAGCTGGAGCTACAGGTATTATTGAGATCCCTGGCTCCTTTTGTGAACCCCAGGAGGTAAACCCTGGTCTTCATGATTGCATAGCAATCTCACTTAACCATTTCTCCAAAAAATTACTGAACTTCCTTTCCTCAGACCATCAAAGGAAAACTATGAAAGATCCCACTGATTTCACATAATATACCTTTCAGAACAATGATCGATATTATATTAACAATGCATAACAGAACAAATCTAACATCTATACTATGAAAATTATGTTTACATCTAAACCAGGAGAGACTTAAAATGATGGAGAAAAGCAGTAGTTTCTAGCACTGAGGGAGCCCCAGTGGAGTGGAATGTGCCAACAGTCTCAGCCTTGAGGGATCCAAGCGTGGTAAGACATGGCAGCTGCCTCAGCCTTGGTCCTCTCGTGGTCTCCACAGGCTCCCACTCTCAGCACACACACACACACAGAGGGATAAAATAAATCTTTAAGAAGACTTTTTAAAAAGTATCAGTAGGCAACTCTTCCTTGAGAAGCATGTAGCCAGACATGCATCTGTCTTAATTCTTCTGAGATCTTCTGTATCTTCTATCCCTTTGCTAAAATCGACATTAAAATTCCTTTTTTAAATTATTGAAATACTTTTATATTATTTTTAATCGGGTGTGTTTGTGTGAGTATATGCTATTTGTATACAGGTGCTCATGGAGGTCAGAGGTGGTTGTGCACCATTTGACATGCTGCAAGAAACTGCAGCCAGTACCTCTGGAAGAGCAATACTTGCTCTTAACCACTGAGCTGGCTTTCCAGCCCCATCAAGATATCTTTAATAAAACTTCCAACTTAGGTTTACTGTACAAAAAAAAATTACCGATAAAAATTGAGGCCTGAGGTGTAAGATCAGTTGGTAACGTGCTTGCCATACAAGTATGAGGACCAAAGTTCAGTCCTCATTTGGAAGGACGAAAGGAAGGAAAGGAGAGAGAGAGAGAAAGAGAGAGTGAGAGAATGAGAATGGCAGCCAGCCAGCCATAGTGGTTTGTGCCTGTTATCTCAGCTCTGGGAAGACAGAGAAGCAAATCCAATGGGCTTGCTAGCTGGCTGCTCCCCTAGCCTAGTCTACTCAATAAGCACCAGGTCAAAGGGCTACCATACTCTGTCTCAAAGTTGGGGCTATTTAACATCCTGTCATGTTAGGAGGAGGTGTCATGGGGTCTCACTTCTCCATGAGGACTTATAAGCAGTTACTGCTTGATGGAACATTTTCTTCAGTGTTTTAACTACTATAAGGTGTCCTTGTTTCTGTAAATAATCCTAATGAAACTTATTGGACCACATATATAAAAAAAATGAAGTAGAAGCTCCCTAGTTAGGAAGAGGAAAGAGATTAGCAGGAGTGGGAGGGAGTAAGAGAGGGTATAGGAGTAAGTATGATCGAAATTTTTTCTGTGTGCGTGTGAAAATGTCAGAATGAAATACATGTATTATTAACATATGCTAATAAAAACATTTTTATAAAACAAAAAGGATGTAACTGAGGAACCCTAGCTGAAGTTGACCTGGCTCCATCCACATTTACGCATTCATACACACCTATTAACATACCTATAAACATAGAAACAAATACATGTCTGATCTGCTGAAGTGATTTGTTCATTATGAAAATAAATTTGCATATATACTGGGTTATCCCTGAGTTGGTGCTCTAGAACTCTAACTTGGAAGTATTCCAAGTTGCTCTCACTAGCCTAATCTTACCAGTTAGAAAAGCAGCACTCATACCATTGTTTTGCTTAAGTCTTTATCTTGTTTTCTCTTTCATAAAATTCCACATATTTATAAAACCCAGACCTTTCAAGAACAAATGTGGAGCCAAGATGAGCTTCCCCCCCATTAATCAAAACACACACACATACATACATACACACACACATACACACTCTCTCTCCTTCTCAAATAAATGTTTGAAAACAAACCGAAAAATTCTCCAAACAGCCCCCTGAAGGGACTTCAAAGTTGGCACAAGACAACCCCAAACCAAGTTCTAGTACTGAAGAGATTTACTTGCCCCAGAGGGACAAAGTGCAGGGGAATAAGAGACAAAGTCAGGACACAGAGGAAGAGGGAGAAGGGAAAGTGGAGAGAGGGGGCAAGGGAAAGGGATATTTGTCCCAGAGGTTTAATAAGAGACCATGTATAACGAAATAAGTGGCGGGGCCACCTAGATGGATTGGCAGGTAATGTTGCTTTCCTCTAAACCTGACAACCTAAACTCAGTCCCTGGGACCCACACAGTGGAAGAGAATCAGCTTCATAAGTTGTCCTCTGACCTCCATAAACATGTACTTTACACTCACACATAAATTAATAAAAAAATTTTAAAGGTTCTGAGTGAAAGAGAAGTTCATCTTTGGTCTCTATATGCACTTGCATGTGTTCCTATACACATGAGTGCACACTGGGTGCACACAAACACAGCAAAAACGTACTTGAATGTCTGTTGGAGTCCTTGTGCTATTGGGTCTTTTCTAAATGACCCATGGTTCTAGTGCCTGCGTGGCTTGAAATCATAGCTGTCCAGGGATGTGAGCACTTTTGTGTTTATGTGATATTTTCTAAAAGAGAATTTGGTCAGATTGTGCATACTTCCTACTGGTTCATTTTGCAGGTCACCCGTGTAAGCTAGGAGAACAAAACAGCTTTCCCTGTTTGAAACATTGATCATTCTCTAGCTGCAAAGATTATTTGTCCTATTTGTCTGTGTCTATGACTTTACGTTTATGTATATATACATGGAGCAAGAAAGGATACCAACTCAGTCAGCTGTGAGTTTGAGGCCAGCCTGATCTACATAGTTTCATGCCAATGAAGTGGAACCCTTGCTGTTAGGTCAATGGCAAACATGGTGACAGGTTACCTTCATATCACCACTCCTATAATAGATATTTGTGAGTGTATGGAAGCCAGAGGTCAATCTCAGGTCATTCCCTAGGAGCTGTCCACCTCATCATTTTTGACAGGACCTCGTTGACCTGGGGTTTGCCAAGGAGGCTAAGCTGGTTTGCCAATAGCAAGCCCCAGGAGTCCATGTGTCTCTGTTTCACCATGGGATTACAAGCATGTGCTACCACAGCAGACAATTTTCCGTGGGGTTTGGGATCTAACTCCGGTCGTCATGCTCTTAGCCAACTGAGCTATCTCCTCATCATCTTAGTCTACTAAGTGAATATAGAAGCTAAGCTTTGGAGCCCATTATCAGGGAGGGGACTAGGAACAGGCTGGGGCAGAGAAGGAGTAGCGGCTACTTTGATGGGAAGTGAGAAGTCAGAGAGAGAAAAATTCCTGTAGAAAATAGGTGAAAGATTCTCTAAGACCTTATTTGATGACTTTTTTTTTTTTTTTTAATTTTAAACAGAGGGTTGGCATAGGCTTTGTTTGGTTTTTGTAATAGTGCTGTTTTGAGATGTGTCTTCATTCCTCATTTTTGTGTCTTGTGTCAGAAGCTTGACAGATCTGTACTCTTTCTTTCACAGTCCTTAGGCTTTCTACCAACGCAGGCCAGTGGAAGGAAGCAGCCAGCAAGGTGACACATGCATTGGTTAACATCAGGTAAGGAATGAGAATTTCTTTCAGAGTCCTTGCTCATTCTGAGCTTTATCACACCTTCCCAAGGAGAATGTTCTCAGCACCACTACTATTTTAAGCCCTGAGGTCTGTAGGAGTGCAAGAAATTGTCATACTTGATCAAGAAAAGCAGGAGTACATGAGGCTTTCATTTTGTCATATTGAAATAGCTCAAAGTTCTGGCTGTTTTGTGAATTTTCTACCCAAGAGATGGTTGTACGCCCTTTACAGGCACCTTAGCCGCCAGAGTGTTCTTCATGCATAAGCTACCCCCAAGCTTCCCCTGAAGGTTTCCTCTGCTCTTCACCAAGGCTTCTTCATGGGGATCTAGAATGTTCACACTTTACTGTAGATAGCTATTTTTGTTCATGGTAAATACAAGCAAACAAAAGCCCTGGGGCTAAGTCATTTTTAGTTTCTTATGAAACAGCAAAACAGAGCTCTGTGTAAAACTGTGTCAGCCATGAGGCTCACAGGGTCATGGGGAAGCAGTACTCTCGAAGGAGTGAGTGGGTCTGTAAGTGGGGAGGGAAAGGGCTGTATGTTAGATCTCAATCTGACGTTCTCCCATTGTTTCTGCTCTTTGTGCCTATGATTTCCCTTTTTCTCAACAGTTATTAAATTGTTTTTACAAACAATCAAGAAGTTAGCGCTGTATAAAAGAGGCAAACCCAACAGATGGGGAACTTGATTTAGTTCCAGATGTAAGGCTTGCCAGACACTCCAATAATAGTAATGCGTATTTACAACTTTGTATAGATTCTAATGTGTGAGCGAGCATGGGTGAGATGTTTATTCTTATCTTTCTTTTGAAGTAAAATGTCTTGTCTTTGCAATGATTTACTACAGTGTGTCACATCTGGGAAATGCTGTGAAATATGTGTGTTAGGTGGGCTGGGACGAGGGAGCATGGGGTGAAATTGTGTTAACAAGGCGCAGTGAAGAAGGTTGGGGTACCTTCCTGCCCCTAGAGACATTTTGCAGCAAACACAATTTTATAAGTCTCACCAATAAACGCAGATCTGTACCTAGCAAGCAATCAAGACACTGTCATGAATCCTTATGATAAATGTGAGCTTCTAAATGAATTTGGCATTACAAACTCTTCTCTCAGATACCCCTTTGTGACTCAAGGGCAGGAAGACAGACATGGCTGTTTGAATGAAGTTATCAGGTTCTGGGCTAGTCAGTGAAGTGCATGAGAATATAGTGCATGTTGTTTATTTACCGTGTATTTACACAGGCTTTTCAGGTAGCTCCTTTTCATCTGGGGCCGCTTGCTTTAGCTTCTACTTCATTGCTTTTACTTTCAATGGTTTCTGCCTTGGCTGCTGTCTTTATTCTTCCCAAGGGACACCAGGCAGCTTATAAGTTTTTCTGCCTTCTCTGAATAACTGAAAGAACTGGGCTGGGCCTTGAAAAGATGCCTGTCACCATGGCTGCTTCTGTGTCTTCCCATGACTGCAAGACCTCCCCTTTCACTTTCAATTCTCAAACTAAGCTTCCTGCAGAGAATAAGCACATTGTTTTCACTAAATCCAGAGCAGGGCACATACTGATGGTACTAAGAATGGTTTGCCCTTGCTCCCTTCTGACATCTCTTCTCACTCATTAAATGTCAGGCTTGGTGTTCTTCCATATGCTATTTCTCTGTACTTTTTATCTTCAAATTCTGTAGAGTATATTATATGCTTCTTAAAATGCCCTTGTTTTTCTCACCTTGAGACAGATTCACACATAGCAGAGGTTGGCTTTGAACTCAGTACATAGCCAGTGGTGACCTTGAACTCCTAGTCCTCCTGTTTCTACTACTGAAGTGCTGGGATTACATATGCTTGGCACCACACCGTCCTCGAAATACACTTTACAGCAAAGAAACTAATTTGTAAAGGTAGAGTGAATTTTGGAAGACCTGCTTTTGTTACATGGCAAGGTTGTGAGCCCAAGCTCTTCCTTTCAGGATATAATGTTCCGTGTTCACAGAGTTAATGCCCTATGCTACTCTGTCTTGTCCTATGGGCTAGAAGACACTGAACGAAATTGAGTTTTTGCTGCTGTTACTGTTTGCTTCTTCCACCACCAAGTAAATTAGGAATGATGATACCAACCATTAGCTCCTGATAAACTATAAAATTGTAATCATCTCATAAAGAATGTCTTCAAGCTTCATATATCTTAGAGCATTCCAGAATCTCTTTCCTTCTTAGGCCAAAGACTAAAGAAACCTTGCTCTCATGTCTCTGAGGCATAAGCCTAGATGAGGAGCTGCTGTATCATATAGTAATTCTATGTTTCGTTTTTGTTGTTGTTGTTGTTAAGAACTGCCATGCTGATTTTTTCTTTTAATTTTTATATTAATTACAGTTTATTCACTTTGCATCCCTTCCCTCATTCCCTCCCAATCTTGCCCTCCCTCTTCTCCCATAACCCTCTCCAAGTCCACTGATAGGGAGGTTTTCCTCCCCTTCCATCTGAACTTAGCCTATCAGGTCTCATCAGAACTGGCTGCATTGTCTTCTTCTGTGGCCTGGTAAGGCTGCTCCCCCCTCAGGGGGAGGTGATCAATGAGCCAGCCACTGAGTTCATGGAAGATACAGTCCCTGTTCCCCTTACTAGGGCACCCACTTGGACACTGAGCTGCCATGGGCTACATCTGTGCAGGGGTTCTAGTTTATCTCCATGAATGGTCCTTGGTTGGAGTATCAGTCTCAGAAAGACCCCTGGCTCCAGATTTTTTGGTTCTGTTACTCTCCTTGTGTAGCTCTTGTCCCCTCCAGGTCTTTCTATCTCCCCCTTCTTTCCTAAGAGTCCCTGCACTCTGCCCAAAGTTTGGCTCTGAGTCTCAGCCTCTGCTTTGATACACGGCTGGGCAGGGTCTTTCAGAGGCCCTTTGTGGTAGGCTCCTGTCCTGTTCCCTGTTTTCTCCTTCTTCCGATGTCCGTCCCGTTTGCCTTTCTGAGTGAGGATTGACATTGCCATGCTGATTTTTTAAGTTTCTTTATTTTTGTCTTACATGTGTGTGTAGCACGTGCCTGACTGGTGACTCTGCAGGGCAGAAAAGGGCATTAAATCCCTTGGACCTGAGTTACAGATAGGCTGTAAGCCACCATGTGGATGCTAAGAATTGAGCCAGAATATCCTAGCATGTGATTGGTCTTCTGCAGAAGCAACAAGTGCTTTTAACCCACCCCACCCCACTCCTTTTAATTTTGAGACAGGGTTTCACCTTGTACCTTTGGCTGGCCTAGAACTCAGTAGTAGACCGTGCATGCCTCAAACTCAGATCCATTTGCCTTTGCCTGATGAGTGCTGGGATTAAAGCAATGCACCACTACACCTGGCCTTTATTTTGATCCTTGCTTAGTAATTCCTAGCTACATTTTATTTTTCTGTTCTGTGAAAGTTAAAATGTCTTGGTTTTTCTTTGTAGATGGACATTTCGATGGCTTTGAATGAGAGCATCTCATACTCAGTATTTTCATACCTGAAGGAGGAAAAAAGGCATGGCTGACAGGCTTCTTTTTGCTCCTTTGTCTTTCTCTTAAAGCTTGTGGCTTTGGGTGGTGAGAAAATAAGTCTGTGTCAGAAAATCTGACCATTGAGTTTCCAAGGGATACTGTGGGCCTCAGAGTTAGCAGGAAAATTGTGGTATGTACAATTTATTCTAGCTATTTCTAAAGTTTATTTGTACTGATATATACATGAGAAGGATTTCTAAGGCAGCATGAATAAACTCTGTCTTGTAAAATGTTCTCTGATATTCCCAGGAAGAGATGAATGGAATACAGACTTTCAGATGTCTAAGCTGGGAGGCGTTCAGCCAGTTGATGACAGTATAAAACCCTGTCTTTGGATCTCCTGGCATGTGGTAGGCCTCTTGACCACCTTTACTTGGAGCTCCTCAGCAGATGGAGAGCAGTAGAAAGACCACAAACCTTTCTGTTCTTTGAGCTTAGGTTTTGACAGTAAGAGTTAACATACTTCCAGAAGCTTGTAGCTACAAATGCTCATCTCAGTCTCTGCTTTTCTCTGTCATTCATGGCTTAGTCGTGCTGGTTCTTTAAACAAGCCTCTGTCCTGTTTGCTTGTCAGCAGATTCTGAAAATACAGCTGCTTAGAGCTGTTGTTTTGATTGGAACACCTGATGTCACCAACAAAAAGAGCCCGTGCTTCTTTCTCCCCTTAGGAAGTGTTGTGCCCTTTCATAAGAAGAGTAAAATACACTCTGGCACCTTTAAGGTTCATTTAGAGGGTTTGCCTCCTTTCTTCCTGTACACTGTGTGGTATTTGTTTATATGAGACAGGTCTCAGTATCCCAGGCTGGCTTTGAACTTGTTTTGTACTCAAAGCTGGTTTTGAATTCCTAATCTTTGTGCAGCTACCTGCCAAGTCCTAGTAGCTAAGGCTAGTTTGGAATTTACTAAGTAGTGCAGACTGGCCTTACATGTATGATTCTTTCTGTTTCCTCTCTCTGGTACTGAGATTACGGGTGCACAGTACCACCCCTAACCTAGAAATCACTATTAATGTAGGTAGAGTTAGGCTGAGAAGGAAATGTGAGGTCTGTCCTCAGAAGTCTCCCCAACTCTTACTGCTCATGCACCTGTTTGGGCTTCTGTATCTGCCTACTACAGTGTTCTCTCCATAGAGTCAACACTGATGAATTGAAAAGAGTTGCGGTTTTATGCTCAGGCACTTCAGCAGAAGGATGCATGTTAGTTTACTGAGAAATTAATTTGGATTAAAGTGTAAGATAAAATGCAAGATAAGATAAAAGCAGAGGCTCTGAACTGATGACTTGTAAGTAGCAGCAAATATGTGACTATAACCTTCTAGTTGTTTGCCCTAGGCTTAGATTACCACTTGAGGTAGAATTTATCATTATTAGCCCTACTGTTGTTAGTCAGACCCTGTCCACTCCATTAGAGAGAATGAGAAGCACATTACAATAAAATGCTAAAGTGAATTGTTTACTCAGTGATTGG